TTCTTTAATTATTCTATTTTTCTTCTCTAATTTTTGGACAAATTGTTTATCAATTTTTTCTTGTTGTTCTTGAACAAGTTCGGTCAACTCTTGAACCAGGGAAGCAACTTCTTCATCTTTTTCCACCTTTATTGCATCATTACATGCTAAACATTCTAATTTCTCGTTGTTCTCTCGAACAAAAGAAATTAGCTCATCCAATATGTCATCAACAACAGAATCTATATTTGAAAAAAAGAATAAATATTCTTTATTATATGTTCAGATGAAAAATTTTGATTCAAATGTATATTAAAGAAACATTAATTGACCTTTTCCGGTTTCGTGATCATCATCATCTTCTATCTCCAACACTATATCATAACTATTCGCGACTATTTTTTAATAAAAAATTTTTTAAAATCAGAAATGATTTCAAATAAATCAAAAGGAATTTAACATAAAAGGAAATAGTATTTACCAAGAGCTTTTTCAAAAATTTTAGAAAATAGAAGAACGATTAAAAGGCAAATGATAAGATGAAGCATTTTTTTAGAGTGTTGATTAGAGTTTTTGTTAAAAGTTTTGAAAGAGTTTTTTTGTAAAGGTTTTGAAAGTGAAAAGTTAAAGTGATTAAACACGAAGATTTTTGAAAAAAAGTTGGATAGGTAATATATAACAAAGAAAATTCTTTGATTTCTAACTTTTTTTGGTCAAATTAGATCAGGAATTATTAGATGGCGATAATTATAACCACACGATACTACGGCTCAGCCTTTACGAGTAAAACTGACGTTGTGTTTGTAAGCGTGATCTAGAAAGAGTAGTCTTGATAACTATGATACTTCCATATCTAGAAAGTACCCTATTACTGCGCGGACCAGAGAACAATATCAGTTCATTCATTTTCTACGTGACAGCGATGTTTCAGGGGTTAATAGTCGTTAGCTTATATAAGATTTTTTTTACGTTACAAAATTGGATCATAAAATGTGTTACGAGCAGATTCCAATTTATTCTTATCTTGGTGATTTCAGAGACAATGTTTAAAGTCACATTTTAAATACAAATAACACGTAAAAACTTGACCACATTTTTTCAGTACAATGCGAGAAAATATATAATGGTTAACTACAAGATGTGAGTGATCTAAACGAATATTCATAATAAAGTCACGACATATATTTAAAATTTACACGTCATGTTAAAATAGATCTATATGTTAACAGTTTATAGTATTTCCTTTCATGTGAGGTTTAATTTATTATAGTCATAGCAATAGCAATAGAACTACAATATTGATTCTCTGATTGACTAGTATAAATATTTATACAGTTCAAAGTACTTTCAAAAACTAAGATACTGTACTACTTGATTAATATTTTACTACTAATTTAATTTTACCATCATCATAAAAATCAATCATATTCTTGTTTAGACGCTACTCTTAGGATGTGAAACGATCTCGTAGCAATTGTCGGCCGACTTTGTGCAAGCATTTTTAGCTGGGATTTTTTCTAACAAAATGACCCTTCAAGACTATGAAATCATAGTTCCAAAGAGCTAAAAATCTCAACTAGTCTTAGACCAAGTGTCTCCTAAATGTAGCCTACGTCATAATTAAAATCAATACCGATACTCCAAAGTTCAAGGTTTTTGATTACATTCCGAAGTTTAAATAAATAATACAGATTATAGCTACTTCAAACGCATTATGCAAATAATTTAGCTTGTTAAATTTCTTTTAGCATTGTTGAATTTCAGGTTATCTTTCTGGAAGAGACCGTCCAAATTTGGAAATGATTTTCATTCTCTGTAAAACGTGTAACTATTAAAAATATCGAATCATTTCCTAATTTGGACGGTCTCCCTTGTGACAGATTAATTGATAATGGTATAAAGATTTTTTTTACGAGAGAGGTTTTGGCTCCTGTTATTGTATTTAATTGACAGTTTTTATATTGGTTATTAAGTAATTTATATGGGACCGATCAGGGACCGATCAGTGTGAAGAAAAATTTAATCGATCAGTCCCTAATCGGTCCAATAAAATTACTTAAAAAACCAATATGAAAACTGTCAAACTGTCAAATATAGATTTTCAATAAATTTACTTATTAGTCAAAATGCTAATTTTTTTCTGATCAATTTGTACTAGCCAATCAGAAGAAGTATGAAGTCTTCCTATTTTTTTTTTAAAAACAAAAGTGTATATAACAGATAAGCTTCATTTTATAATAGTTCCACTTCTTAATTAAAAGATTTTCTTTTGTGAACTTATCTTATTACTTCACCCTAACCTTTAGCATTATATTCGACTCTGTCAAAATTACAAGCGTTAATTTTTTATGAATAAGTTTACATATTAGTCATACGTAACAACGATAATCTCTATTACAATTTTTCATATGATCTGTATACGCTGTATCGGTGCTATACGAATCTTCCCACGAAAATTTTACTTCATGTGATTGATGGCGCGCTGACGCAAAACTTACACTTAGCCACATCTAACGATTGTACTGTACTTTTAATAAAAAATTTTCAATTAAAGCAGACAACTACTCAAAAAATTTTTAATTATTATTTCGTAGAATCAAAATAAAAACTTTTTTTTAGTGAATTTATTGGTTAGCTATCGAGATATCTGAAAAAAAAATCAAACTGTAAAGAACCCCACAAAAAAAATTTTTTTTTTGAATATTCTTCGACAAATTCGATAAACTTTTAAATTTTGGTAGTTGTCGAGATTTTTTTCGCTTAGATTCTTGAAAAGTGCTTATGATTGATTTACGCCACAAAAAAAAAGTATACCGTATTATACTGTATAATATAATTATATAATAGTTAATATATAATGGTTAATATATAATAGTTAATATCTTATGATTTCGTAATCGTTTATAATTATAGTATAAAACGTTTACTGTATAAATTTATAAAACTTAAAAATATCGATTATACAATATAAATTTATATACGAAATTTATTCATTTACAATAATTCATAAATATTTCTTTAATAACATGAATAAAGTTATTGATTTCTACATTGTACTACGAATAATATATTACTATACTTCGTTAATTTCATATTCAACGGAATTAGTTCAATTCTTGATATCAGAATATGCTTGCTACAGTATTTCTTTTGCGCAGTATAACGCCAACCTTTATTATACTCATCATCAGAGTCCTCAATTATGATAATTTTTGTTTTCAAGATCAGTTTTCCTAAACTATGTACTAAGAACTTGGTTTTCCGACCTCATGTACACCTACAGTAGGGTACCATATTATTGTGAACACTTTTTAAAAATTTATATCAACTTAAATAAATATAGTATTAAGTTAAAAATTGTATAATAAATTCATTAAATCTATAGTTTTTTTTTAAAAAAAAAGATTACAAAATTCTATATAATACTTTTTGAGATAATTAGGCTCGTGTAACTTTGTGTAATATTATATTTGAACAAAATAGCCTATTTTGGTATATTATTAAAATTAAAATTTTTAAATTTAAATTTTTAACTATTTAGTAATTAGATTTAAACAATTTTTATATAAATAAATCTTTATAAAAATATAATTTTAATAGTATTAGATTATTAAAATCTAATTATTAGATCTTGAGATATTTAATTTTAAAATTTATATAATTAAATTAATATAAATTAATATTAATTTTTTTTATTATTATTAAGGTAACTTATATTGCTGAGTAGATTTTATTAGTTTAATATTGAAACTAGATACAGCAGAGAGTTAGTTACTCAATAATCTTAATTCTTTATAATTTATAGTTAGCTTAGTTAGAAAGAAGTATTTAGATTTAGTTAGTAGTTTAGTATCTATAGATAAGTATTCATTTTTTTAACTTAATTTCTTGTATATTAATATTTTTACTAACTTCAATCTTTAATTACTATATTACTTCAAATAATTAAATAATAATATAACTACAAATATTATACTACTTCAAATAGTTGAATATAATAACTATAGCTAATTCTAGTATATTAGAATATAACAGTCAGATATAATATTTAATAATTTGAGAGAAAGAGTAATTACAAGAATTAGATTTTATGTGATTAGTAATTTAATAAATTTATTTATGATTTAAGATATTTATTATATAAGAAGAAATTAAATTATTATTTTTAATGATATAAAGTTAGAAAATATCTTCTCTCTATAGCTTTTATAGCCTTTATTTATAATTGTTAAAATATATAAATTTATTTAGTAATTAATTTATTTTAATTTATTAATTTATTTAAACTATTTAATCTAATTTACACTATTAATCTCTTTAATTTTATTAATCTATTTGATAAAATTAACAAGATTTTTTTTTTTTATTAATTAATAATATCAGTTAGAAAAAGAATTAGTATATTTATATATTAGAATAGTATATATATGAAGCTAATGTATATTCCTAATGTGCACTATTCTTACTAAGACTATTTGACAATAGTTAGGTATCTAATATGATATTATACTCTTATTTTCTATTTACTAGCTGATTTAAATAAAAGTTACTATCGACTATAGAGGAGGTTAAGAGAAACCTCTAGAAAAAAGGAAGATAAATTAGAAAAAGCAATTATATATAGAAAAGTTTTAAAGTAAACATTTTTGAATATAAGTATTTATATTAGTATTATAAGTTATAGTAGTAGTTTGGTTAGATATAAATTGAGGAAGGTGTATTCAGTTTGTATTTTTTTTGAGAAATACTATGAGCAGTTTCCCATTAATAGTAAATTTGATTTCTGTTATTTCAGATTTTATTATTAAACCAGAGAAGTAAGAAGTTAGAGAGCTTAATAAAGAAGTTATTAGTTGTTTTTTTAATTAAAGAGTTGATTTGATTGTAGTTAGTTATTTGAATAATACTTTAAATAAGAAGTAAAAAAGTGTTTATTAGGTTTTGAGAGTTGTTGTTGTGAGTAATTATTTGTAAAATAGTTTGGAGAAAAGTATTATTTAAATTTAGTATATTTAGAGTATTTGTTATTTGATTAAGTAGTATTTTGTATAAATTAGTTTTGTGAAGTGTATTAGAAAGTAGATATTTAGTATTCTTGTATTAGTTACAAAATTTACAATTTGGTGTGAGGTATAAGTTAGCATAGCGAGTATTTAAGTTTGCTATTGTTAGTAGGTTATTTAGTATAATTTTGTTTCTAAGAGAATAGAATTTGTAGTTATTGTTTTGTGAATTAATTATGTTAGTAAGTTAAAGAATATTGAAGGGTTGTAGATTACAAAATATTTTGAGTTATATAAGCTTGTTGAATGTTTAAATTAAGAAAGAATATTTGTACAAAATTTACATATTTTAAGTAGTATAAGTATTTGATTCTATACAAAAGAAAGAGGTAGTTAGAATAGTTAGATGTTAAGCTGGATTTCTATTTTGTTAGTATCTTGTTTAACTAATGAGTTAGCAATATTATAAAAAGAATTTTTTGAATATGATTTAGTTTTGTGAGTAGTAAATTAGATATTTTTCTTTTGAATAAAGTAATTTAGAA